AACTTTGCATTAGAATCCAGGTTCCTTTGCTTGGCCTGCCCCACAACTTTGCATTAGAATCCTAGTTCCTTTGCTTGGTCTGCCCCACAACTTTGCATTAGAATCCAGGTTCCACTGCTTGGCCTGCCCCACAACTTTGCTTTAGAATCCTAGTTTCTTTGCTTGCTCTGCCCCATAAAAATCCTGGCGATGTATGAAGTTATATGTAAACTGCACTGTGCCTGTGTAGTATGATTAAGAATGTTGCTGATGTAACTTGTATGAACTCCCTACTTGTACACCTCTTAAAAATAACCTTTCCCCTTGTCCTCGTGGAGCAGTTTTGGTGGCAGCAGGCCCAACTGCTTCCTTTCCTTGCGCAATGAAATAAAGTCACCTTTCTACTCTCCCACCTTGGTCTCTTGTTTATTGGCCGATACGAGTCACGCTGAGCAGAACCTGGTAACAATATGGTAGTTCTATGTTTAATTTTTCAAGGAACTGCCAACATGGCTCATCTTAACTGATGCAGAAAAAGTATTTGACAAAATCCGACACCTTTGACGGTAAAAACACTCAGAAAACTAGAAATGGAAGGGAACTTCCTCAACATGACAAAGGACATTTACAAAAAACACACAACCAACATCATATTCAATGGTTAAAGACTGAAAGCTTTCCCCCTAAGATCAGGAATAAGACAAGGATGCCTGCTTTTGTCACTACTATTCAACACTGTGTTGGAAGTTGTAGGCACAGCAATTACACAAGAAAAAGAAATAAAAAGTCTCTTTTTTTGCAGATGACATGGTCTTATATAGAGACAGTCCTAAAGAATCAACAAAATAAGTATCAGAGCTAATACATGAATTCAGCAAAGTTGCAAGATACGAGATCAACACACACAAATCAGTTTGATTTTAATACACTACCAACAAACAATCTGAAATGGAAACTTAAAAAAATTCATTTACAATAGCATCAAAAAGAATACTTAGCAATAAATTTAAGCAAGGAGGTGCAAAACTTACATGCTGCAAACTACAAAACACTGCTGAAAGAAATTAAAGACCTAAATAAATGGAAAGACATCCCATATTCATGGATCAGAAGACTTAATATTGTTAAGACCACAGTATTTCCCAAAGTGATCTACAGAGTCAGTACAATCTCTGTTAGAATTGCAACAGCCTTTTTTGCAGAAATAGAAAGTTAAATGGAATTGCAAGAATCCCTGAATAACCAAAACAATCTTAATAAAGAAAAAAAAGTGAGGACTCACACTTCCTGATTACAAAACTTACTACAAAAAGCTACAGTAACCAATACAGTATGGTACTCGTATAAGTACAGATGTACAGATCAGTGGAATAGAACTGAAAGTCCAAAAATAAATCTATACTTCTATTGTCAATTGATTTTTTTCCTAAATCTTATTTATTTGTGGTCGTTGAGAACATACACAGCAAAACATACGCCAAAACAACAGTTTCTACATGTGTGATTTAGTGATTGATTGATTTCTGACAAGGGTGCCAAAATCATTCAATGAGGAAAGAACAGTTTCCTTAACAAATAGTGCTGGGACACCTGGACATCTAGATGCAAAAGAATAAAGTTGTACCAATACCTCATACCATATACAAAAATTATCTCAAAATAGATCAAAGACCTAAATATAAGATTTAAAACTATAAACTTCTTAGAAGAAAACACAGGGATAAATCTTCATGACCTTGGATTTGGCAATGAACTGTGAGATATGACACTGGAAGCATAATCAATTAAAAAAAAAAAAAAAGAGAGACAACCTAATCGAAAAATGGGCAAAGGACTAAACAGACATTTTCCAAAGAAAATACACAAATGGCCAAGAAGCACATGAAAAAATGCTCAAAGTCATTTGTCATTACTGTTGTTGTTAACTGCTGTAGAGCTGATCCCCAATTCATGGCAACCCCATGCACAACATTCTGTTGTGATCCACAGCAATCTAATAATGGTCTCTGTCATGGACTGAACTGTGGCCCCCAAAAATATGCATGTCAATTTGGGTAGGCCATGATTCCCAGTGTTGTGTGATTATCCTCCATTCTGTCATCTGATGTGATTTTCCTATGTGTTATAAATCCTATCGCTATGATGTTGATGAGATAGGATTAGTAGTAGTTACGTTAATGAGGCAGAACTCAATCTACAAGACTGGATTGTTTTTTGTCAATCTCTTTTGAGATATAAAACAGAGAAGTGAGCAGAGAGACAAGCGGACCTCATACCACCAAGAAAGCAGTGCTGGGAGCAAAGTGTGTCCTTTGGACCCAGGGTTCCTGTGCAGAGAAGCTCCTAGACTAGAGGAAAATTGATGACAAGGACCTTCCTCCAGAGAGAAAGCTTTCCCCTGGAGCTGGTGTCTTGAAATTGGACTTCTAGCCTACTACACTGTAAGAGAATAAATTTCTCTTTGTTGAAGCCATCCACTTGTGGTATTTCTGTTATAGCAGCACTAGATGACTACGACGGTTTCCTGCATGGAAGGCGAGAATTCTATCACTGAAACACCACTGCCCCCTTATTAGTCATTAGGGAAATGCAAATTAAAACCACTTCACATCCACTAGGATGGCTATTATCAGAAAAACAGAAAATAATAAGTGTTAGTGAGGATGGGGAGGAATACGTTAGAAACTGAAATTCTCATCCACTACTGGTGGGAATGTAAAATGGTGCTAGCCACTGTGAAAAACAATTTGGCAGTTCCTCAAAAAGTTAAACATAGAATTAACATATGACTCAGTAATTCCACTCCTAGGTATATACCGGAAAAAAAAAAAAAAACCCCTGAAAACAAGTATTCAAGCAAAAACTTGAACATGAATTTTCACAGAAGCGCTACTCAAAATAACCAAAAGATGGGAACCCAAACATTCATCAATGGATGAATGGGTAAACAAAATGTATCTATACAATGGAATATTATCGAGCCATAAAAAGGAATGAAGTCCTGATACATGCTACAAGACGGATGAACAAAAAACACTATGCTAAGTAAGTGGGGGGTGTGGGCAGTGATAGCTTAATGGGTACAGAGTTTCCATTTGGGGTGATGAAATCTTCTGGAACTAGGTAGTAGTGATGATTGAACACACTGTGAATGTACTAAATGCCACCGAATTATATCCTTTAAAATGGATAAAACAGTGAATTGTATGTGAATTGTACCACACACACACACACACACACACACACCAAACCCACACTGCTCCCTAATACTTAGGAATGGCCCTCATGACCAGCCTTCAACTGCCTCTCTTGCTTATCTCACTGTCCCCTCCTCCCATGTGCTTAACTAACTTCTCACTGGTTTTGAACATGTCAAGCTGCTATGCTCCACTGTGTTGTTCTTTATACATACTGTTTCCACTGCCTGGTAAAGCCTTCCAGACTTAGCTCAAACGTTCATTCAACAAATAGTTATTAAGAATTTCCTGTTTTCCAGACACTGTATTAGGCACTAGGGGTATAACACTGAACAAAAAAGACATAGTCCCTGCCTTCTGGAACTCCCAGCCAAAGAAAGGGTGGTGAAAGGCATCAAATGAGGCACAGTGCATTATTGAACTGAAAATGGGTAGGTGCTTTCCAAGTAGGACAATAGGATGCCACCACAGCACATCAGAGAGGATCCCTGACCTAGTGGGAGAGAGAAGGGTGTAGGAAAAGGTTCCTTAAAGAAGAAATATCTAAGCAAAGTCCTGAAGGATAAGTAGTTAAGGGTAGAAGAGTCATTCTCAAGAGACCGAGAGGCCTAGAAGTAGACAACGTTGGGGCTGGTCACCGAGATGCTAGACCCTGGAGAGAGGTAAAGCTCTTAGCTGACACACAACCTTGGCTTATGCACCCACTATCCTTGCCCTGGACATGGCAGTGCAGTCCAGGGACTCTGGGATCTGGAAAGAAAAAGCAGCAGGGAACTTCACCGCATGCTCTAAAAAATTCTTTAGAAAACCATTTCAGGATCTACTTTCGTTGTTTGAGAGAGTAAGGTCCCCATGTCATCTCTTTTGTGAAGCGTTTTCTTACCTTCCCTTTTCTTTGTGCCTCCAGTGTGTCTAAAACACATGCTTGCTTGTCTGTCTGTCTTATGTGCCTGTCTCTGGAATTAATCTGTAGGAGTAGGTGGAGAACTGACTTCACTGCTGATTCCCAAATCCTGAAGAGCTGCGCAGTGGGCAGGGAATGTGGCAGAAGATGGGGAGGGCTAGGCCAATTAAAGGCCAAATTACAGCAGGACTTGGGTCAGTAGTTCCCAGACTTCAGTGACTAACTTGCCAGTGCCCCAGGCGATTCTGAGCAGCAGACAAGCTAGGGAACAGCTGGGGGGAGGGAGGGTGGATTAAAGGTTTTCAAGCAAGTAAGTGAAACGTCCTAACTACATGCCAAACCTGGACAATGAATAAGAAAGGCTGAAGAAGAATGGACGCCTTTTAATTATGGTGTTGGTGAAGAATATTGAATATACCATGGACTGCCAAAAGAACAAACAAATCTGTCCTGGAAGAAGTACAACCAGAATGCTCCTTAGAAGACAGGATGGCAGGACTTCGTCTCACATACTTTGGACATGTTATCAGGAGGGGCCAGTCCCTGGAGAAAGACATCATGCTTGGTAGAGGGTCAGCGAAAAAGAGAAAAACCCTCAACGAGATGGACTGACACAGTGGCTACAACAATAGGCTCAAACACAGCAAGCATTGACAGGATGGCGCAGTACTAGACAGTGTTCGTTCTGTTATACATAGGGTTGCTATGAGTCGTAACCCACTCGATCGCATCTAACAACATCAGTTCGAGGAGAGCCTGAAACCAAACAGGAGTCCACCGCAATAGTCCAGAGAAAGCAGGGGCGGGGGGTCCCAGAAGTGAGAGCTGTTGCCTCCATCTCTACTCCAGGCGCCCACGGCAGTGTGCCACTCGGTGGGCCGCCCTCCGGGGCACAGCGGATGGGAAATATGCTTTCTTACCCGCCTCATGCGACTGTTGGACAGCAGGTCGGCGATGCCCTTGGCCGCGTCGTTTTTCTCGGCCACACAGAGGACTTTCCGCACCCCTCGGAAGGCCACTTCCATGGCGGCGCGGCACAAGGCGCGGGCTCCGGGCCGTGGCAACCACGGGCGCGCAAGGCGGGCAGCCGAGAAGATCATCCCCGGTCTCCGGGCATGCTAGGAGAGCCGCGCTGAAGCCCGCCCGCCGCCCGCAGCAAGGGCACAAGCGCCCCCGGGAACCACCCACGTTCCGGCCGCCTCCCCACCAGCCTGCCAGGCGACTGCCGGGACCCGCGGACGAGCGCGCCCCCTCTGCCTGCGCGCTCCTCTCCTTCCGGAGGGGGATCGGCGGCTAATCGGCTTGATCCCGGGAAAACATCGACTCTCCGCAGTCCGGACTAAGCCGCGCGCTCTCACACTCTCTTCCGCGCCTACTCGGAAGCCCAGAGGAGCGCTTCCGGGTCACGCGGCACCGACTTCACGAGTCATGTGACACAAAGATGGCGGCGCCACGGTAGCTGGCTCCCGGTTGTGGCGTCCGAGGAGCCGCAACGGTTTCTGCCCTCAGGGTGTGGGGGCGGCAATGCTTGGCTGACCCTTGCGGTAGCCCGTAGTCCCGCGTTAGGCACGCGTTCCTGGCTCAGCTGTTACTGGCGCGGTGGATTCAGGGCAGTGCCGGTCACCTCGCTGCAGATGCCTTGCGCCGGCCGCGCTTGCCGCTTGAGGAGGAGGGCAGCCAGCTTCCCCGGTCTTCTTTGGGGTTAATGAAGCCGTCGAAGGCTCCGAAGAAGCTACACTTCTGATGGCGCTGTGGGAGTTTGAGTCCTTGACTGTGTTAGAGGCAGCCTAGGATTCCTGAGGGCTTAAAGAAGGCCACAAGGACTTGGCTTCCTCCTCCAGAGGCCCGGCGTCCCGCGTTGACCACCCCTGCATTCTTTCCCACTCCCTCTCCATGCTCTCTCCACACATCTGGAAATATGATCAGCGCCCCTGACGTGGTGGCCTTCACCAAAGAGGACGAGTACGAGGAGGAGCCTTACAATGAGGTGGCCCTGCCCGAGGAGTACTCGGTGCCACTGTTCCCCTTCGCCAGCCAGGGAGCCAACCCATGGTCCAAATTGTCCGAGGCCAAGTTTTCGCGGGACTTCATCCTCATTTCTGAGTTCAGCGAGCAGGTGGGACCCCAACCCTTGCTGACCATCCCCAATGACACCAAAGTTTTTGGCACTTTTGATCTCAATTATTTCTCCCTGCGGATCATGTCTGTGGATTACCAGGCCTCCTTCGTGGGCCATCCCCCTGGTTCTGCCTACCCCAAGCTGAACTTCGTGGAGGACTCCAAGGTGGTGCTGGGCGACTCCAAGGAGGGAGCCTTTGCATACGTGCACCACCTTACCCTGTACGACCTGGAGGCCCGTGGCTTTGTGAGGCCCTTTTGCATGGCTTATATCTCGGCAGACCAGCACAAAATCATGCAGCAGTTCCAGGAGCTTTCGGCTGAATTTTCTAAAGCTTCTGAGTGCTTGAAGACAGGCAACAGGAAGGCATTTGCTGGGGAACTTGAAAAAAAGCTGAAAGACTTGGATTACACCAGGACAGTGCTGCACACAGAAACGGAGATTCAGAAGAAAGCCAATGACAAAGGCTTTTACTCATCTCAGGCAATTGAGAAAGCCAATGAGCTGGCCAGTGTGGAGAAGTCCATCATTGAACATCAAGACCTGCTGAAGCAGATCCGCTCATACCCCTATCAGAAGTTGAAGGGGTCTGATTTGAGTGCTGGTAAGGCAGAGCACACGCAGGATCAGGCTGGCCAGGCATCCACTACCTCTAACCCTGATGAGTCTGCTGACACAGAAGTTTACACTTGCAGACCAGCCTACACCCCCAAACTCATCAAAGCAAAGTCCACCAAATGTTTTGACAAGAAGCTGAAGACCTTGGAAGAGCTCTGTGACACTGAATATTTCGCCCAGACACTGGCTCAGCTCAGCCACATTGAGCACATGTTCAGAGGAGACCTGTGCTACCTCTTGACTAGCCAGATTGACAGAGCCCTTCTAAAGCAACAGCACATAACGAACTTCCTCTTTGAAGACTTTGTGGAGGTTGTTGACAGGGTGGTAGAGAAACAAGGTAGCACACCTCTTGAGCCCAGTCAAGACAGGCCACCATCCAGGTCTCTGGAAGAATGTCTGAGTCCCAAAGTGTTAATTAGTGTTGGTTCTTACAAGTCCAGCGTGGAGTCTGTGCTGATCAAGATGGAGCAGGAACTTGGAAATGAGGAGTACAAGGAAGTGGAGGTGACAGAAGTGAGCAGTTTTCTTCTGCAGGAGAACTTGGACTACTTGGATATGGACATGAAAGGGAGTATCAGCAGTGGTGAAAGCATTGAGGTTCTAGGAACTGAGAAGTCCACCTCTGTGCTGCCTAAGTCTGACAGCCAGGCCAGCCTCACGATACCACTGAGCCCCCAGGTGGTCCGGACCAAGGCAGTTAGCCACAGAACCATCAGTGAGGATAGTATTGAAGTCCTCAGCACCTGCCCCTCTGAGGCACTCATCCCTGACGACTTTAAGGCCAGCTACCCAAGTGCCATTAATGAAGAGGAAACATATGCAGGTGACAACGAGGGAGCCATCCATTTCCAGGCAAGTGCCAGCCCCCTGGATCTAGGGGAGGCAGAGGAGGGCAGCTTGGAAAACACCCCATCACACACTGACTCCTCTTGCTGTATTGGGAAGGAGAACGACAGTTTGCTGGTGCCGCTCCCCACTCTGGCCCACAAGCTCTCTGACAATGATGGAGTGGTGAGCATTCCCCCACAACGCTACAGGCAGAAGGACCAGGGCTTCCATGTGGACTTCGCAGTGGAAAATGTCAGTCCTTCTCCCCGAGACAACAGTTCTGAAAGCTTCTCACCTTATGAGCTGGGCCCTAGCTGTCTGCTGGCCAGCCGGGATGTCAGTAAGACCAGCCTGGACAACTACTCAGACTCCACCAGCTACGTGAGCAGTGTGGCCTCCACCAGCTCAGACAGGACTCCCTCCTCTGCACATCCCACCGGCACCTCTTGTGAGAGGCATAAAAAGAGGGCTGGCCAGAATGCCTTAAAATTCATCCGCCAGTACCCCTTTGCCCACCCAGCCATCTACTCACTGCTCAGTGGGAGGACACTTGTGGTCCTGGGGGAGGACGAGGCCATTGTCAGAAAGCTCGTGACAGCACTGTCCATTTTTGTCCCCAACTATGGCTGCTACGCCAAGCCTGTGAAGCACTGGGTCTCCTCCCCTTTGCACATTACGGATTTTCAGAAGTGGAAACTTATTGGCCTGCAGAGGTAACTGATTACACATGGTAGGAAAGGGCCCTCTTCAGTTAGAGATGGTGGAGGCTCCAAATGCACATCTCTTTGGGTGAGGTAGGCCCAGACCTGTGGCTTCCAGATGGGGTCCTCCAGCAACTCAGTGTGTTACTTTTGGCAAATCATTCCCCTTCCTAGCCTTCAGCTTCTGCGTTTGTCATGGAAAGGGCTTGCAGTTCTTAAGTGGTTCCCTACCCTGTCGTGTGAGAATTTTATGAGTCACAGATTCCTGGCCACCATCCCCAGAGACTGCATCAGTTGGCCGGGGTAAAACATGGAATTCTGTGTACAGCAGAGTGTGAGAACAGCTGGACTGCAGGTCCTGCCTGTAATGATCTGCTCCTCAGAGGCTGTAATTGTCCTCGGAGAGGGCAGCTGTCATAGAGGGATTGCAGGGCGTCCTCAGGGCAGCTTGTCACAGAGGGATGGCAAGGCGTCCTCTGGCTCTCACTGTTCTGTTTGCCCAAGGAGCTTGTCTGAATGAGGAAATGCCGTAGTCCCTTCTCAACCTCTTTTAACACTTTAGATTTCATTTCCCCATGTTACTCACTTCTGCTTGGTGGATTGCTTTTGTTTTTCCAAATACTGCTAAACGAGTTAAGCCTTGCTAAGGGGCTCTTTCCCTCTGTATGCGCTGTGTTCAGTTTCCTCATTCTGTGAACCTGGACAAGTCACTTCCCTTCTCTGAGCCCCATTCTTGTCTGTAAAAGAAAGGCATTGAACTAGGTGATCATCAAAGTCCCTTCTGACTCTGTATGTCCTTCCCACATTACGTACAAAGGGTGAAACGAATTTCTTCCAGACTTTAGTCAACAATTAGAAATTCTTCTAATTTTCTAGCTTTCTCCTTAATTCCTAAGATTAATGAGATTTATTATCTCCTCTTGCGGAAGTCCCCTGGAGCTTTCTCTAGCCTTTGCTGCATTAGGTTTTACCTGGGGTAGTCATGGTGTGATCTAAGCAAGTGCATTAACACATCAGGATTTGAGTCACTTGTTGAGGATCTACTAAAGGTCATGTGGGTGCTGGGTTACCAGGGAGGGTGAGTTCTGGTCCTAGCTCGAATGCCAGTTCATTCACAGAGTACGTTTGGGCATGTCACTCCAACACTTCTAGACTTTAGTTTCCTCTGTAGGAAGTAAGAGGCTTGGGTCATTGAGTGATCATTTGCCAAATATTTATTGAGGTCTGCTGAGTGCCAGGCACTGTGCCTGTTACCAGAATTACAAGATGTGTCAGTCATGGCAGCGAGTAACAGGAAGAGCATGGCCTTCAGGGTCAGCCCCAACCCAGCCCTGTCACTGCTGTGGGACCTGAAGTCGGCAACTTGGCCTCTCTGGCTGTTTCTTCAGCTGCAGCTGGAGTTGAGGAGACCTGCCCTGTGATAAAGTCTGCCGAGGGGCCTCTTACATCTGGCCCCTACTGACCAGTCTCCTCTTAGATCCAAGCAGGGGATGCAGACACAGACTGTGCCAGGAAGTAGGCCAGTGGCACAGAGGCTGCATGTGGCTCTCAATCCAGACTTCAGAGAGCAGCCTGGAAAACAGACTCTTTAAACATACACTTCCCTCCTGCAAAAGCCAGAGGTCCAGCAAAGAATCCTAAGTGGGAGAGTGATTATTTCTCCCGTTAAATTTTTCTCAAACCTGAGCGTGCACTGATGTTAGGACTTGGGGATGTCTGCCTCCAGAGGGTCCTGTTCAGGCATGAGGGTGATGCAGCAGGGGTCCCTGACGAACATGTCACTGAGGATCAGCTGAGGGGCCAAAAGTGGAGTGGGCATTGCACTTGCTACAGCTCCCCTGCCAGTACAATCCAGGGGAAGGTGAGCAGTGGAAGGCAAGCATCACGAGGTTGAAGTCTGTAGCGGTGTGGTCTGTGTCGATTACGGGGGGTGGGGTGGGGAGAGTGTTGTGAGCTCCAGCCTAGGCTGCCCCAAGCAGCTGTGTGAATGTGGACCAGTCCTCTCACTCCTGCATTCACCAGATCCTGCCGTGCCTCTGTAGGTAGAGCCCACAGTACCCACCTCCTGGAG